AGCCTCTTCGAGAAGCAATAGTAATTAAAATGAAAAGGAGTGGCGTATGAGGAAACCTGGGTACTACAGGTCCCGGCTGTGTGACCAATAGCTAGCATTGTCCTCCCTGGTAACCAAGTCAACAGTGTTTTCACTCATGTGGCTAGTAACCATGCAAATTTATTGGACCAAACGAAAGTGTTTACATAAGAAAGAGAGTTCAACTAACACCGGATTAGTTTGGGACACCAACATGGCGGCCGTTTCATTGTTTTGGGGCACCAATATGACTGGCACATGTTCGACGATGGGGATTGCGATGAAAACTTATAATTTACCTCGGTAATTTCTCTAATAAACGTTATTGACTATAACTATGCAAACTGTCATAAAAATAGATATTAAACCTCCTACTCCTACAGTTTTATATAGATATGGCGGAAAGTTGAAGCCATTTATTACAACTATACAAACTGTCATAAAAAATGCAATAATTGATAATATAAAACATGTACTTCCAGTTTCGTACTGATAGATATGGTGGAAATACTCGTAAACAATCTTACCAATGTAAACCAATACAAAATCTGTCTTGTTTACGTAATTTGGTTCTCCTAACCATTCATTTGTATTAACCTAACTCTAAAAGAACAGTATACAACCGCTATGTCTTTTTCTGAATTAGCATATGATTTACAAAATAGAAGAAGCGAGGCAAAGGGAACGGTTTTTTCCGGAAGTTCCTGTAAGCAGGGAATCCTCGCGAGGCACCCCAATTTTCGAAATTCCCTTTCCGGAATTTTTCGTTCCATTTGGATTTTCTTTTCTTAATTCCCGGCTGAAGAATTCGCAACTGAAAATTTAATAATTTTCGAATTTTAAGGAAACTTTTTCTAGAAATTTCTGCACCCTTTAGCCCATTTCGAAGGTTTCAAAATAAATTTTCATTTCCCTGATACACTTAACTATTTGTTTGTATCTTGATTTTGTGTGTGTGTGTGTGTGTTTTCGTTTTTCTTCTCCTTTATTATGCATATAGCAAACAAGGTTAAGCAAATTAATTTTTTCATATCTACTCAGCTTATTTAGTTGTCTCGCTACTCTGGGTAGTTTTTTTTTGTCTAATTAACTTAGGCCCAGTTCAGATGCCGAACTTTTCATAAACCGAACTTAATTCGAATTTGGACCGACCCAAGTTATCAAAAGTACGCCTGTTGATTCAGATGCCAAACCTAATTCGCCGAACTTAATTTAGTTTGAACCAAAACACATCGAAATGTCAGTAGTTTTCAGGCAAAGTGTAAACTTCTTGTAAAATACGTTATAATAATTTATGCCGTTAGGTTCGACACCTGAAAAGTTCGACGTGTGAATCCAAGCCGAAATTTCCGGTTAAGCTAGGCGAGAAGAACAGCTGAGCCGTTCCAGATTCAAATAGCCATTCTTAACCGAATCAGACGCCGAACTTTCCATGTACTCAATTCAACGTATTAGGTTCGACTCACGAAAAGTTCGGCGTCTGAAGTGGGCGTTATATTTTTACGCTGTTTTTGCTTTTTTGTAAATCTGGCAAAAAAAAAATATATAAGAAATAAAATTTTAAAAAAATGGTTGATTGTTCCGAAATTGTGGGTTGAATGGAAAGCGCCAATTTGAAAGTTTTGCGAGCTGTTGGTTAATATAATGATTACAGACTCCGTTAGTGATGTAGACGTTGATAGGATTGCATGGCTTCAATGAACACCTTCTGGCACACGTTTCTTTCAGGATGTGTGACACCACGCAGTTACTCGAACAACTTGGGTCGCAACACAATGATGAGTCAGACAAGCATCGGCACCCAAGGTTGTCAAGTAATATATCAAACACGGAAGACCGTGTTTGACCCCATTTCCAAACACCGAGAAGAGAGTTGAAAATACGACGTGCAGCGGAGTATTTTTGACGAATTTCGAGGTGTTTGGAAATGTGGTCAAACACTGTTTTGAGTGTTTGATATATCTTCTCAATCGAGACTAAAACTGAGGAGAAAACGGAGAAATAAGATCGTTAAAATCTATGCTAATTAAGATCAGATGACCAAACACCGTCACGGTCATGGTTTCCTTTGGTTCCTTTGTTTCCTTTGTTTAAACTTGATTAATAAGTTTGAGAAGTGTAAACGGCACTCGTAATCACTTGTATCCGCAAATTTCCTCGGCCAAATCTCTGCGATTTACTAGCGGTTGACAAAGTGCGTCATGCAAGACCTGGTAGGTTGCAGCTGAACCTTCCCTTTGCTTCCAACACAGCAACATTTTATATGTCTTTTCTGAATATTCCTCGTTTTCTTTGTCAAAAGCTGTTAGCTTTCATTCATCCATTTTCAACCGACGTCCAAGCGGTTTCCAGCCTTCTGCAATCTTCTGTGAAAGTGTCTCTAATTCTTCATTACTGGGTGTTCCTTCTTTGACTATAATATAACAGAAAGTAATAGAAATTAAGTCAAATTCACGAAAGTTAACCTCAACTGCTACAGAGGACGTCGAAATGATCAGCTCAAGAGTTCACAAACTCAGCTCTGCATAGTTAATAGAGGGAAATGGTTAGGAAGGCCGGTAAACATCAAAGAAGCAAACAGACAGATTAAGATTTATGTTGGAAGGTCCTTGACCCTGCACATCTTTTGTGTTATGCCCACTGACTATGCATGATTACGTAATCGCAGTACTTCCAGTGGCGGATCCAGACCTTGAGCTAAGGGAGGCCCGGTATCCAGAC